CTTAATTTTTGCTGTCGCAGGATGAAGCAAACAAACTGTAACACAAACTTAGTTAACTGTGTCAAATAACAAATGGCATCTAAGATGTAAGTGAGAGAGAACAAATGGGAATTATATAAGAATCACATTTCATTACCCACTGTTATGCCACAGAGAATACCAACTAAAGCAAACAAAATTGTTTTGATGTCTGCAAAGCATCAGTGCCGGCTGAATATTTGCAAGAATGCTACTTAGATTTTTATGAATGAGCAGCAATGTCCATTTCAATTTTTTCTGGGAGGCGAGCACACATAAGGTCCTCTTGCTGATTCCAAATTTAACGTCAGTAGGAAGATTGTTCTCCCAGAAGCCTGAAAGAGAGAGCGAGGGGTGGCCTATTCCTTTTGGAGAGCTGGCTCTGTAATTGCTTGCGCGCAGAAAGCTGTAAATCAAAACCGCTGGTTACTCTTTGCTTATACAAGCGGAAGATTAGTGTGAAGGAGTTGTGCCAATACTGGAGTACGAAACCTGGCATATGACACAGACCAGTGTTATGTTGTAGAATAATGCATTGAGGAAGCTGAGCACGGACTGACAGGAGCAGCTGGGTAGGGGAAAAGGTCAACCTGAGTTAATCAGCTAGAATCAGCATCAGATGAGGAGATAGTAACAACATGCGTGTGTGTGTGTGTGTGTGCGTGCATATGTTCATAATGGTGAAAAATAAACAATAAAAATAGAAAGCACATCTTTTCCATGTGTAAAAAGCTCTTAGAGAGAAGACACAGTAAAAAGGCATCATGATAGCACAGAGATGCTGTCATAGACTGCAAAAACAGGGTTAAGTCAACAAAATGTCTGACATGTTTCATGATTAATACATGCCATAGCATGTATGTGTACTCTGCAGAGACACAGGTGGTGTGGCTTCTCCCTCAGAAGTCCAATAGCTTGCAGCAGGTTTGTGATAAAAATAAACGTGCAGCGACTTTGACCCTGACAGGTAAAAGCACCACGACAGCATACATAAGTTAGTATGACTATTCACCTGCTCATTCGCCAGCTGGGCTCTCACAGCTGTACAGGTGCACATCAATTTTTCAAGTCATGTTGACAAAAGCTTTCAGACTCCTGCTCTCATATCTACTGCACATGTTTCTATCCCTACAAAAGGTATGCCAGGAAAAAGAATGCCACGCGGTCGTTTCAAGAGCTGGTAGCTCCACATCCTAAAAAAGTGTTTGTCCTTCTATGCCATGTGTAAATGTGGTCTTCTCGACATTTTCAGTGGTTGTACTTGTTTGTGTGTGTGTTTACATTACCACAACACTGAGACAAAAAAAAGGCATTAACAGACGCTTTCACATTGTGCTTTAGATTATTTATGTTAATTTGCTCTGAATGAAAATACTTCTCCATAGAGTGAAAAAAAGTAACCCTGACAGCTAGCGGTATGTTTTAGATATATAATGAATTCTGTACAGCGACACACGACACATGAGAATTACAAACATTTTAACAAACTATTCCTACTGTTAAAGGAATAGTTTGACATTTTGGGAAATACACTTTTTTGCCTTCCTGCCACGAGTGAGATGAGAAGATTGATACCACTCTAAAGTCCTGATGTCTGTACAGTAAATATGAAGCCACAGCTAAGAGACTGTCAGCTTTGCACAAGATTTGTCGTTTTTACACTTTAGGTTGGGTTGCGTTTTTTTGATTGGGGGGGGGGGGGGTCTCAACCGGACTATTTCTTGGCTGGGAGTAGTTGCCAGGCAACAGTTGAGACTACAGAAAGTTACTGCTGCTGTCCACAAAAAGTTTGGCTCATAAGCCTGTAAAACAGTGACTTGTTGTTCTTACACTTGTGTTTTTGTATGGAGTAAACCAATGAGATATAATGTGTTAATTAGTGAGCTGATTATTGATTTGTCTTTCTGAAAAGGTAAATTCAAAAGCTAAAAACAGTGGAAGAACAGGTGTGTGACCTTCAGAGGGCCTCTAATCATTATCAGGTATCAATGGGAAAACTGCACAGACACCTAAGGGCTCCTGGTCTATGTAGACTTTAGGTCCACACTACAATAAAATGTCTTTATTGTACTTCAAACAGTTAAATATCTGTTTGATTGGTCAAAAAGGCATTCCATCATATTTCAAGAGCACATATTTTAACATCAGCACCCATGAATACACTGACTTACCACAACAATAAGCATACTAGAAATCATCATGTCATATTTCACTTCCTTGCCTTCATTGTGTATCATTTCTGAACCACATGGTTCACTTCCTTTCACTCTGAATCCACTATGTTTCCCCTGTGTGGTGCAATAATTTTCACTTTGTGTGTAGAACACCCATTTTTCTCCCTCTAACCAGAGGGCCAGGAGTCACCAAACCAAAGGACGTAAGCACTTGCAACCAGTCTTTTGTCTGTCTTTGTCACACAGCACACTTCCCCCAAAATACCATGTTTCAAGTGTCATTTCCCACAAACGTAGCATTTTATATGTGCAGATGTGCTATAAAAGTAGTTGGACAATTCTTATTCTTTTTCCCCCCTCCACACAAAGGTTACTATCTGACATGCAGTAACATAATAGGTCAGCGGATGTAAATATATAGGTCTTGTATGAGGGCACAGACTCATCTGTAGCTAAAGGAAAAGCTGTCAATAATTTATCATTAACCCTGTTTCAGACTTACGTATGCATCTATTAATAAATAAATAAAACAGAGCATACATAGACATGGTAACTATACAGTAAAAAACCCACAGAATAAACACTGTAAAACCTTTAAGAAATTTTTAATATAGTACACCGGTGGTGCCAGTGTAGCCACGTCTGTAGACCTCAGAGAGAACAACCTTTCAGGTATTACATTATTGCTCGAATATTTCACTAGAGATATGATCTGCATGGTGTTAAAAGCCCCTCTGAGCCTTCCTACGGCAAACACAATTGGTTAGGTTTTTTTAACCGCCTGTCCTACATTTATTGTGTGTCAAACAATTTAGTGAACTGCCCAAGGCTTTGACTTTTTGAAGTTGCTCTTAATATCGTTTAATATCAACTAATGATATAGGTCAAGACTCACTTTGTCACTACTGCAAAACATTTTTAAAAGATGCAACATATGGGTCTGTTTCTTGTAGAAACCTAATTTGCCACACTGTATTATTAGGATTCAATCTTCTAAAGAAAAAATATGTTTAAAAATAATAATTTAACCATTCTGTTTTTTACCCAAAATAACCCGTCACACAGCAGTGCTTGTTTTATCTGTGTGTTTCATCTTCCTAAGTTGTTGTGAATTTTAGCATTGGTAGAAGAAGTATTCAAGTCCTTTACTTTATTTATTTAAAAGTACCAGTACAACAATGTAATGTAAACGAAAAAAAAAACTTTGTTACAAGTTAAAGTCCTACAAGATCCAAGATACAAAATTTATTTAATGCATGGTGCACACTAGAAGATTTAAAATTTCAACTGATTTTAAAAACATGAGATACCACAGACAAAGAGAAATTTAACACAGCATCCAGTTAGTGAAGCTTCCCGATCAGCTTGCTCTCATTGGCTATTGTGGGTTTCTACTCATTATTGCGTCACTGTTCCTTTCACATTACAGGAAATAATCAGTCTCCCCAATTTCGAATCTTAAATATCTACGATTCAAAATCGAGGAGATTCCGGTAGGTAACATTAAGCTTATATCAGTAAACTCCCACACTGCTGGTTCATTTGGGAAGATAATCGTTCAGACCAGCTTCGGATCAAGAACACCCCCGCGATTGCCTGGAGGGGCGCATCGAACCCAAAATCGGCCCAATTATCTTCTAGTGCGAGGCCAGCATTATATGTAAAAGTACTTGTTTTACAGAAAAATGGTCCCTACGACACTTAATAATGATGTGGCTAATGAGACCTCTATCTGCCCGGCTAAATGAGCTAAATAGCCAACAGCAGCTACCGTTAGCAGGCAGTTAGCAGTTACTTTAGCAACAAGTTAGGCCATCTGTCCATCGAGGAACTAACTATCCTTCACAGCCAAAAGAACTTTCTGCGAGACATATTAAACAACCTCCCAAAACTAGTAGTCCTGAGCAGAGTAGTCTTGCTAAAGCCAGACCTATCTCGACACTGCGTTTTAGTGCTGTGCGAGTGGTGGAGAAAGTGATATGAGCATAGCGGTCAAATAACTGAGATGGACTGAACGGATGGCTTGTGAGTGAGAATAAAAATTTTTAAAAAAAAGGAGCAAGCTTCGGTCCCTAGTATGAGCCACGCCCACAAAACCTAGCATCCAGCATTTCCCATAATGCAACTTCATTGCATCTTTCATTACATCGCCCTGTCACCTAAATGCCTATACCTTTCAAACGCTACAATCCCACCCAACTTGTAATGCCGCTGTTCCTGTTCTGTTAAAAGTTTTAAGTCTCAAGTCCAACCCTGATGACATCACTATGACATCATTAGGGTTATTTTCTTAGAATTTTTAAAGCTCCTTCCAACTCTCTGTTTTGACAGACTGAATAGCACTACTCACCCCAAGTAAGCTCATGTCAAATTTATGAAATGGAACTTTAATCTGAAAAGTAACCACAACGTATAGCTTTCAGATGCAGTGCAGTAAAGGCTTTAATATACTCTGGAGCGGACGCATACACAGACAGCTGCGGACCCCACGGATGCAGACTGCTTCTGTTTATACTGCTTTCTGCTTACAGACTTGTTCCACACATGCGCAGTAGATTGGTTGGTGCCCTGATAGCATGGTCACGAAAAACAGGAGGCACGCCTATGCATACCCCCTCTGATGACGATTTTTTCGTCATGCGGACCCCAGCAGTCCCTCGTGTACTCGCTGATGCGGAAAGTATAATCCTTCCTAAAGAAGTGCAATACTTCCCTCTGAAAACTATAAAGTAGTGCCTCAAAAGATACTTATCACCACTGACTGTGTATATTTGTATGCACAGGTGTGAAGTTGTGTTGGTATCATACTTGTGTGCCTCGTGGCTTGTAGGGCGAGCTGCTCTCCAGGTCTGCCAGGATGCTGGTGAGGGAGTCGATCTCGGCATCCAGACTTGAGCGCCTCTCTGCCAGGGTCTTCTCTGGTCCTTTCGTCTGTGTGCAGAAATCACATGTGTGTGAAGTTCAGTGAGTGAACTTACCAAAACATCCTGTAATGACACTTTAGTTACTTCAGTTAAGGACAGATAATCATCAGTGACGACTGATTCTGACTCTGTGCTGCTTTGAGACATTCTCTCCTGCTTTCTTCACACTTCTCACACTTTGGATTACAATTTCTGAGTTCATGTTTCACCTTGACCTCAGACAATTCTTTTGAAAGCCACACATCAATAGCAGAGACTTCTCTCAGAGAGAAATGCGGTGAGAAATAAGAAGCAATGTATTGTCTGAAAGACAACTTTTATAAGGCAGTGCACTATTCACCTCCTGCTTTTCAGCGCACTTGGAATTACAGTATCTCATTCTTCATGCATTATTCATCACAATCTCATTCATTTCAAACAAAAAGGTCAATTTAAAAAAAAAAATGAAAGTCATATATTTTTTATTCCATATTTTAAACATGTGCTCTATAAAAGATGGTAAGAATTGCTGCGATTTTTATTTAACAGTTTATTATCAGAGGAAGCTTTAAAGTGTCAGTAACAGGATCACTCCAACAGTCTGAGACCTCACTGATTTATTCATCTACATTTTTTTCAGTTTCACCTCAGAGAAAACACAACTTTAATGTATAAAAAAAGACAAAAAATATCTTAGAAAAAGAAAAACAATACTGTTGCACAAAAATCTGGAAAGTAGTTAAAATGATTTGACCGTTCGTGACACTCGATTTTCTACAAAATTCACAGGAATTTCTCCATGGAATGACAGATATATTTTTAGTCTTCTGAACTATGCTGCAACTGCAAGAAGACTTCTTGCAATTGCCTGCGGGGGCTTTTTGAGTTGGCTGGATCAGTGACTGCTTCTTATTCTAATGTTATGTGTTTGGATTACCTGTCACAATCTATTACAGGCAGGGTTTGCCTCCATTTGGAGCAGAGCTGCTGCTTAAAAACATCTAAGGCAATCATGAGCGGGGGTAAACAAAGCAAAACACTAATGGCTTGTCTCAAATCAACAAAAGAAAAACAGGCAAACTTGTTTAACGGTGATAACGAGGAGGATGAAAGGAAACATTGCAGTCTTTGTGATGGGTTGGAATTTGCCATGTAGGGCTTCATAATGTGGACAACAGCCATGATGAGAAGTAGCTGCCTTTGTCTTTCTCTCCTGCTAAAGGTTTCGACATTAACATGTCATAATCCAGACATCTCTCCTAGTTAGGGTTATAAAGACAAGTGAATATGTCTGACTTCTTCTGAGGAAATACTGTTTAATCACTGATTTATTCATTCAGTGCTAATCATTTCTCAGACAGTTTGATTGATATCTATCCCTTTTTCTGAACAGTGCCTACTATTAAGAGTTTTGCTGTGGCTACAGGACACATAGTTAAGATACCAGTGGTGTATTAAGGAATTAAGTTGCAAGGCAGGGCTTATTCTACAGCCAATATGATAGGAGTTAGAGTTGAAAACAGTGACGAACTTTTAAAACCAAGAAAGCAATTCATTTCCTATGTAATTTCAGGCCTAAAATATGTTTTACTGCTACTGTCTACACTGTTCAGAAGAAGAGGAATGATGACAGAAATGGCAGTGGCAAAGGAAAAGAAACTAACTGTAGTGCCTGATTATCTGTTATCATGTCCACTTGATACTCTGTCTATCATAGTTGTCCTGTGAAAAACATGCATCTCTAAAATGTCATCTTTTCATGAGCTAAGAAAAAAAAAATCCTTATTTTCAAATGGACTTGTGTTTATTTGGCTTAACAGGAGGCATTTTAACAGCAAGCAAAAACTCTTTCAATGTTCATACTTGAAAAACTGAACACATCCTTTGAGAAGTTGAACAATTTTGTCAATACATAAAAGAACACTTAATGCCTTTGTTTCGCTGAAAATGTCAAAATCAGCATGTTTGGAGACACGTGGTCTTTCTTGGACATAAACTAAATACTATTTAATACCTGATGCTGCATTTTATGAAACTCGACACGGGGTTGTTAGCTTTTACTAAAAACGTAACGCAGCATTTGCATTTAGGCACTACAAACTTGCCAGTCACATTTAAAGGTCATTAGGCGCAATTGTACCTTAGGCACAGACATTATTATAAGAGCAAATTTCTGATTTTAATTTTAGATGTAGTGCATTTACAGATGCACAATAAGTTTTCCTTTAAGAATATCTTATAACATGCTAAATACTGTTTTTTAGTTATAAAATTGTAACAGCACAATCTTGTCACACTTTACAACATTTTAATTAAACTTTGCACAAGAGTGTTGGTGCACGAGTGTTTCAAATTACAGCTAAGAAAAGATGTGTAGTTCATGTTCATGTTTATGTTACCTTACACATAGAAGAACACACAGTTTTTATGTATATAGATTTCACTCTCACTTATCGCCTACCGCTTATCCAGTGGACGGGGTCGCGGGATAAAATTTCAAACCAACGTAAAAAGAGTACTATTATCGGATCACTATGCCATATAGACCCTAAGTTCAGTTAACGGATCTGGTATTATAAAAGTGAGATTGGTGAGGCCCTAATTAAAACACTGATTTTGTTGGTGGCTTATCTCTTTTTAAACTGCTTGTGTGTCACTTTCTCTGTGCACAGCCAATTCTAAATGTGTTAAGGGAAAGCAGCTCTGTTGGTGCAGCATCCCTTTGGTTCGACAAAACCATGAAATTGAGAACTGTAACTGTCATTGCACTGCACCAAATAATTGTAAAACTATGAGAGGATCCATGGTTTACATTAAGGTCCAAACACCGGACATACACTGCTAATCCTCAGGATGCAGACTTATATTGTGTAAGTATACAGTTTTGTGTGGGAAGAGCAGTGAATTTACATCCATTGCATAACTTATTTAAGTTATGTAACATTCTCTCTTACTTACAAATGAAGCATTCATTTAGGATAAAAACTGGTCAGATCAAATAACGGGCTTGAGAGATCCCCTCCGTGCTTACATTAACAAAGGAATGTGAAGCACTTGGAGGATTTGGCAGCAGAGGTCAAGTGCTGAGAGTGTCAGTCAGAAGGCAGAGGCCAGATATCCAGGGAGGGACAAATGCCTGTGGGTATTATGACAAGTAAGGCAAAGAAAAGTGACCAGGCTCCACCAATAGGTGTCAGCCTTCTATCCTTCCTGCTTTAGAGCGCTCAGAACTGAAGAAAGTATGTTTGTGTGTGGGTCCTTGAGTTCGGGTGCCTGGCTCCAGGCAGCATCTGGACCTCGACGTCTCTGCAGTTGGCTGCAACTCAAATGGACAGACAGTTTTGCTGGACTTGGTGTGTGAACTCAGTGTAGCGCTTGGGGCTATCTTTGCTTTCCGTGCTGACTCTTAGAAAGTTACTGACAACCAAGAAAATGTACTACAACAACGCTTTCTCTCACCTGAAAATCGTACGAGTTCATCAGCGGAGGAGGAGGGAAGGAACCAGGGGATGATGGGAAACCGGTTGACTCTTCGGCAGGTGGTGGCGGGGGAAGGTAGTCCGCTGGGATGGAAACACACACACCCACAGACACACACACACCAAGAGAAACAAAAACGGCTTATTAAATACTTCCCCTTTTTTCCTACATTCAAACTGTCACAATTCTAAAAGAACAGACACTACACCGCAGAATTAACAACAAATAAAGAACACACTGCAATGGGTCAAAAGTGTTTTACAGTTATGGGTATAAGGTTAGCTACCATAAAAGCCACAAATTTACAACGCATAAGATTAAAGCTGCTATTATCAATATTTTTATATTAAAAATGGATCAAATGACCAATGCGTAATATGAAAGGACCCACAAACCACCAACTACCTGCTCAGCGCCAAACGTTAGACAGACAAAGTTAGCAACACAGAGGAGCATTCAGCCGCTAAAGGCACAGATATTTTGGTAGAGAGCAAAGACAGAGCTGAAAGGAGAGTAAATATTGGACTTGCATTGATCAGGTGGCCAGAAACATTATTGCAGGTTTAAGTTTTAGAACATATGAAAGTTCTTGGATGCACGTTTTGTGTAAATTGCACCATTTCTTAAAAACATCTGCATCTTCACAAAATGCTGAGTTTTACCCTAATTTTGAACTCTAAAATCAAATCAGACATTCGAAAGAGGTTATACGGTTATCACAAAAGACAGAACGCCAGTGAAAGGACAAAGAAATGGAGCCTTGTCATCCCATGTCAATGGACTGACACACTTAATTGCAGCAATTTGGTTAACTAAGTACTAATCTGGAGTAAGCATGTGTTTTTTTGCCCCTGAGATTGAAAATGTAAATGTTGTGTTAAAAACGGGTTAGTCTAGGTGTTTCCTCTGCCAAAGGAGAAGAAACAAGCCACATTTGTAGTTCTAAAGTCCATGCTAATCCAAGGATTGCAATCAACCACATGTTTCAGACAGGATAAGGAGTTACGTGCCAAATTAAATTCTGATTTGGCTTCTCTTGGCACAGGACTTAAGACTGAATCATTTGACCGTGTACTTCTAAGTACCAAACCAGACATGAGCTTTGCAAATTAAAGGCTTTTATGAGACGTAATGGGAATTTGTTCCAATGCTAAGACTTTGATGAGTCCTGTTCAGAAATTCTATTTGCTTTCCATGGCTTTTATCTGTTTTCATTAGAATCTAATTGATGTCACCAGTGTAGTTTATCTAAGGCAGCTGACCAAATTAATTAAGCGTGGTTTTCAGTTGCCTCAACAAAACAGCTGAAACAGAAAAAAAAAGCAAGACAGAGAAAACGCAGCATGGTTAAAATTGGACACATGTCTGCGTCTTGAGCATTATAACGTTTCAGAAAGTGTGAGCATTGCATTAAACATTCCCTCTGGGTGCTTGAGGGCCTCCATGTGAATTGTTTATATAATAACCTTGTGACCTCCGCTAAAACTCCAGAGTGTAACAGCTCCTCTAAACCTCTGGGAGAGAAAATAAAATATGCTGCTCGACAACAAGGCTCTGGCCCAGTCCTCCCTCCCATCTCGCTCCAGCACAGATCCTTTTTGCCAGAATATAAGTCACTTGTAACTTGTGGCTTACAGAGAATTAAACCATTAACTTTCATGTACATTTCTCTCAAACATCAAAGATGTTTTGGATTTATCATTTCAGGAAACATAAGTTGTAAATGTTTCAGAGATGCATGTTTTATTGAAAAGGTCTTTCTGTATGTGGAACAGTGGAAAGCGAGTCTTGGCACTGGAAGACGGGTCATTAAGAACCTTTGCTGAAAGCATCTTTCTGGCTATTTTTCCCCTCAACAGCATTTTTATCTTTCATCATGCCAGGCATTTAGGATTGCAATGTGCGGATGTGCTAATGTGCAACACAATCACTAGTAGCGTTTACTATCACTGTAATCTTTCCAAGCAAAACTATTTTCTCTCATTAACACCTGATCTCAACCTTGAAGTTTGTTGTTGATTCAAGGTCATTTAAAAGATGCCTTTTCAATTAAGTGCCATTTAATGACCTTATTCCCATAATTATAAAAATCCCTCTATAACAAGAATTATCTGAAAATACGTGATCTTTAGCTGTGCCATTTAAATACAGTGTACATTTAAATAAACATGATTTATGCATTTAGCTTCATCAGCAAAATGCTCAAAAAATGGAACATGTCTCTACAAAGCCAAAGAGTAGTTAAAACAAACCCTTTTCAAGTCACTGGACATTTATTACAAAGCCAAAAAATTTAAAATTAAAGATGCAACTTAAAGGTGCCCTGTGAGGTATGTTAACAAAAGTTATGGTTTTTTTTTTTTTTAGCAAACATACTGTGTGCATTGTTAAATGTATTTCCTTAAAACACTTGCAAAGCTTTTTATTTTTTTTATTTTTTATTTTTTTATCTTTTAAATCCGGCATTGTTTACATCCATGTTTACTAGCTTGTAGTCTTCTTGTTCACTGCCACATTCCCTTCACTGGCACACTTCTTTATGCATCACCTCCATCGACTGTGGATGAACGAACAGGCGAGAAACCAGCGGCAGGAATGTGTGGAATGTCACTTATGGGCGCGTACATGTACATGTGCTCCCTCGTGCTCCCTCGTGCTTTTGTCATTAACATATTTCCTGTTTATTTTGCTCTCTGCTGCTCTTCTGCATATTTGACTGGTATTCACACTACACCCAAAAAGTTTGTTTTCGCAAGTGAATAGGAAAACAACTAAATGCATAACATGTTACACTAATTGCACTACTTTGTGTCAAATAGCCCCATTTAAGGAACTCTTCGAGGAACCTTTTTAGGAACTTGTATCTTCACCTTTATTTCCCTGACCACAGGAACCTAGTTCCACTTTTGGTTCCTGTGATCAGGGCCACAAAGTCCCACCGCAGAACTTTCTGATACCATCAGGGACACAATCCTCCGGACTGACAACATGTGGAGTGTACAGCAGCAATTTAGACTGCAAGCAAACACTTTCTGTAGCTAGTATCAATTTTAGCACTAGAGATGCACTTTTGGTTAGTGTTACTGAATCAAACAACAGTTTCTGTATGTAGCCTGCTTACAGACTAGTCTAAAAAAAGAATTAGGAAATAAGAAACTTATTTCCTAATTGTTTTAATTTGGTTCCATGTTAAAGCCAAAAATAACCAGAACTTTCCAAAACATGGTGGTTGTTTGAAATATTATGAAATGGGTAAAAATCTGACAAAAAATCTACATGGTGAAATCTAACCTCTACTGTATTTTCCCCCTATTTTTCCATTTCTTCCTTTTACCAGAATGATTTCTTAAATGTCCTCATCAAAAGAATACCTTACTTCCTCTCAGCTACAGTGAAACAGTGACATAATTTTGGGGGGGGGGTGAAGTGTTTACTTTTAAAATTGGGAAATCTGTAGAGACCAATAATGATGAACCTCATCCTTAAGTTATGCATACATGTTATTTCTGTCATTTTTCTGTATCTCTTTTGCATCCATTTCACCCTGTTTCAAACCAACCAGTGCGAGTCTCTACTAGAACCCTAACTGGCTTTCCGCCATTAAACACAACCAACTGTGTTTCTTAAAAACATGACCAAGCTAGAGGTACCACCACTGGGGATCGAACCCAGGCTCTCTGCTGTAGTCCGCAGAAACTTTATCCCATCTGCATCACCCCATTTCTTATAAATCTACAATCAACACAGGTTTGAGCTCTTTCTGTACTGCAGGCTAGCGCGGTGCTTACGCTGTCAGGCTTTAAAGCAGTGTGAACGGCTTCTGTGCTGTGAATGAAGCCCGCTCCATTTGTGACAACAGGGAGTTGAAAGCTCCAAGTGAGCACTAATGAGAGAAGCAGCAGGAAGACCTACTTAATACGACAACTTCCCCTCTCTTTATTGAGCAATTACTTTTAAGTAGCTTCTTTGTGAACAAGGAATCCTAATCAGTGATTAAAGTTATTTGAGAGGCCATAAGAGGTATAATTGGTTATCAGGAACGGGTGTATTGTTAGGGGGAAGATAAAAGGGTGGAGATGGATCCAGCTGTGACACTGGGACCAATATTAAACTTTGTTTTTCAAGTAAGTGGTACATTTATAAACACTTCAAGTACTGTATATGACTAATGACTGGCAACTCTGATAATCTATACGGTCTATGTATAAATGCTTTGAAACTATGCATTTTGTTGGAAAACCTTTGCAGGTTGCAGAGGATTTTTTTTTCTGTGGTACAGATTAGTACATTCTGTGGGGGCTGAAGGCTGGGCACACGTTTACAGATTTACATATGTACAATATTATCAGGACGTGCACGTGTGTTAGCATCAGCCATCTGGTCTTTAAGGACTTGGGACAAAGGCTGGCACAACTGCCTTTCGCATAATGCATCCAATGTTTCAGTGAAGGAAGCTGAAAAAGAAAGAGCAGAGAGATAAAACTGAAGAAACTCTAAACACAAGGAGAGTTTTCTCCTATCACTATAAAAAAAAAAGAAAAAGAAAAACACACCATGTTTGCCTGTGTGTTTAGGTACAGAGAAACAAACTATCTCCCACGATCTGAACTAAAGCTTTTGTTGCTGGCGTCTGCATGCACACATGCTGCAATGAGCCAAAATAAGGGCAGAGGAGTGAGATGAGTGCAAGTACCCGTCACGTGACAGCTGTACTTGCATAGAAGTTTTGGAATGTTTAGTTAAAAACCTTCCACAGTACTTGACCCCGATAATGTCTTTTATGTTTTCACAAACCTGAAGTAATCTGCATTTAAAAAAAATAAAAGACAACCATAGAAGTGGCTTTACTTTATTCAGTTGCAAAAATACATAATCCCTTCCAGACAAAATGGACAAAGTGTTTTAAGTCCTGGGTGTCACTCCACATGCTTTATCTCCACATAGCCGTTCCAAATGTGCTGTGGCAGAGGTTGAGAGCACATTGTTTTGACATAATTATGGACCCATTTTATTCCATCTTCTGCTGGAGAAGAGCAGCTGAGCCCTGCGCTTAATTAGCATGATATGTATAGAAGAGTGATTT